CTCTGCCTGTTTACTGAAATGTTGTGCTTCAAATGTTGTGCTTCAGCTCAGGAAATTGTAAAATTTACAGGAAGTTGATTACAGCCACTCAAACAATAATAATAACGTATACTTATTTGCTCCCCGTGGCGAAATTACTTGTTTTTCTCTGCATTTGACCCATTCAAATGCAGTGAAGCAGTGGGCAGCCACTAAGCAGGCGCCCAGGGGACGGTACCTTGCACAGGGGTACCTCAGGGTAGCTGTTCAGTGGATTCGAACCCCCAACCTTCCGATCATGGGGCGACCACTCTACCTACTGAGCTATCCCGGCCCCCAAAGCTTTCTATCATGCCATAGCTAATCTATCAAAAAACTCAAGTACTGATGAATCCAAAGTTAAGCATGTTATCAGTTAAGATAATGTTTTAAAGATCATTCTAGCTTCTTCTAGTGCATGTTTTAGAAGCTATATTACCTCATCGATAAATAGTGGTAGCGTGAAAGGAAATGTGAAAGTAGGAAAACACGACACAACCTCCATCATGTTGCCGTTTCAAGTTTCACAGTTACCAACGGGCAATGTTTTTCCTGGTTTAAACACTCCTTGGTCCACATATAGTTAAGACAAAGAGTCTTTGTTACTGTAGCTGACACACATTTAGGCATTTTCCTGTTATTCTATGACCATTTCACAAAAATGTAATTTAAACCCCACAATAAACTATACACTGCTTAAAGGAATTTTATAAATGACAGTTCTGGTGGTTTTCCTGTAGTTAAATGCCAAAACCTCCCTGATGGTTTTGAATATGACATTTTTGTAGGGAAAAAGCCAATAGTGTTGAGCTGCTGGATAATACCAAGCAAGCCAATTGTAGCTCATTCGCCCCTTTAATGCAGTACATTAATATTATCATTAAAATATTAAACCTAATCTTCCAATGTAAAGCTTCATGTTGATGTGAATGTCACCCACCTCTTACATCACGGGCATATGTGGGCGCATCCACACCATGGACATAAAAGATGCTGAACTGCTTTAAACCTACATTCTACTGATTAACTGCAATCCTTCTAGCGACCCTTGTGGTTGCAAAAAGACTAAGTTATACAGAAGTTCGATCCCTCAAATCCCTCAGCTCAGTAAACACTATCCTGATGACTTTATGGCCTCAAGCGCTACGTCTGAGTCCTACTGAATAAAACATTAAGTTCATTGTGTAAATTACAGTTACTCAGAAATGAAGATTATCCTGGACATACTCATTATCGAACAACTTCTCAACTGCAAGTTGGTAGCCAAAGAGTGCAGTTTCACAGTCTGATCCGCCAGCCGCTCCTCACTTTTGGCTTCCACACACCAGGATGGAGATGGCAAACACAGCTCACCCTGAGGCTTCATAACGGGACTTCCACCTATTATACCATCCCTGTGTGTGAGAGAGCGCAGGCACACACACACACAAACAAGTTCATGCTCACAACTTTGTCCTCTGTGAAATTAATGTGCATATGTGGAGCTTCTACACCGATCCCTCATCATCCACTAATGGTCACACTTATGTTCACTAATTACAGCAGGGAACCTCTCCCGCTCCCTGATATAGACTATGTTCATTCTCTTCAAGCTAGAAGTGGCAAATAAACTCCCCACTCTTTCTCTTTCACTTGTTTTTGGGCAACCTACAGTTGGCTGGACACTGGCAACTTTACAGGGAGGCAAAAGGACAATCAGACTACAAAGAAGATTGCTTTAATTGCTTTACCACTGCAAAGTTGCCAATTTCAGGTTAAGTATTTATAGATGCGGATTTCTGCTGAAGACAATATGCGTCACGTTTGCATGAGGGTAAACAATGAGGGCAATGTTTCTGAAGACAATGTTTCTCACTGTCTTAGTTCGAGAGGATCATTGCAGCATTAAAAAAAAGCATGTTTTATGTATACAGAGGAAAAAGTGCTTCTACATCTTTGGAGAGAGCAGACACGCACATGGTGAAACACAAAATAGACACAGGACAGAAACCAGCATCATTTCTGTTAAGCTCCAATTTACACTTGTGTGTTTGTATGCGTTCTAGACGTGAGACAGAACTATATTTTAAACATCTATAAATACAGTAAAAATAGGTGATTCAGACATTATGAGCCTTTCAAAGATCAGTTTCCTTCCCATTCCATCTCCTACCTACATGCAGGATTATTATTTTAATCTCTGTGGATGTCTGTTCAGAGTCTATTCAGGTGTGACTTACGATGCAAAACACTACAACGGGTTCAAAAAAGGAGCAGAGGGGAGGCCAGCACATGCTGTGTATGAGCTCTTCTTTCTTTTGTCTTTTTTTAACCAAAAAACCCACATAACATGTGCAGCGGTGATCCCAATTTTAACGATCAACACAAAGGCTTTAGGTTTTGGTGGGTTTCTCTTGTTGTGTGGTTCAGTTCTTTAAAAACACAACTGAACTGATACAACCAGAGGAAAGAGGAGTAGCTCTGATCATAACAGCACATAAACCAAGATAAAAGAGCATATCTGAGATTGCTGTGAACTCAACAGTGACACTTCCACAGAGAGTAAAAGTCACGCCAAGCTACTGTACAGGACAAAGTGATTTGTCTTTATACGCTGAGCTGAAAGAGACATACAGTAGCACAATTGTAGTATCTATATCTTCACGTTTATAGATTTGATAGTTATAGATGTAAAAATAGCTGTCACTGTCTTGTCGGGTGACACACTGATTTTTCATTTATAGTACTATGTATGGTACGTCTCTGTAGGTAGATGGGCAGTATGTAGCTGCCACCTGACTGCGAACATGCTACCACTGCTAAACCATAATTTCCCCATTATAGGTCATCTGTGCACTAGGACAAACAAAGGATGTGTTGCTTAATAGCAGTCAAAAATTGCACTATGACACCATAAAAACTGACAGAGAGCTCACTGCTGACATATGCATATCCAGCCCAACAATGTGAGATTAGATAGCAGACTTTGTAGTCGTCAATGATTCCTGATTAAAGAAAAAAATACTGAATAACTGTGAGGTCACACAACTGGCTTTGTGTCATTGTCATTTCTGGGGATGAACCCATAACAACAGATATAACGAGAGTGAAAGTAAATAAAAAAGCCTTGTAAACGAGCCTTGAACTTGTAAACTAACTTGACCACAGTGTGAAATACCTCAGAACAGCTCACCCGTTGCTGTTAGCTTCATCTATGCCACGTTAGTTCTCCACTAGAACTGAACTGAAAAGAACAGATAAGCTAACAGATCGGCAGGTTGCTCCCGATATCCGATCCAGCACTTTCAGTTAGGATTATACTGACATCTAAAAATCAGCTCTCACGCATTCATAAATGGTGACCTCCTGGTCACAAAAACAGGAGACACATTAAATAGCTGACACATAGAGCAAACCTCAAGTTTATTCTTCTGGAGCACACTTACTGTATGGATAGCCCTAAGGGTGGTAAACGCTGTAGATGCACGTGAATAAGGACACAAGTATATGTTTCAGCTGATGCTAACAGCCCATATTAGCCTATCAGAATATATCTGTTTCTGCGTCACTTTATTTAACTCTCTGCATTGTCTGCAGCACATGTAGCAGAGTATGCCCTGTAGACAATTTTAAACTCTTACGCACTGTGAATATGAAGCACAGACACCTTGCCTGACCTTAAAACCCACAAAGACAAAAAAAAAGCAATGACCTGAGATGACATGTTTTATGGTGTGGTTGGTCTTTAGCTTCAAAGAGTTGATAATTATCAGCTATGAAACCCAATAAGAGCTGCCCTTAATAAAATGAGGGCTGCTTAAGCCCAAGTTTATGTGTGAATACTGGACTCAGGACTGTGTGTGTTACATAACATACTTTAAATATTCGTTACAATGTTTAAAGAACTAAAATCCCATGAAAGGACCAGGTCAATTAAAAAAATAATGACAAATGAATTTAAAAATATCGATATATATTAAAGCCTACAAATATCTTAACCCAGTTAGCCTGTGAAATGTAACTGAGGCTAAACAGTCTCTATTGCCAGCCTTTTCCTTGCTAGATAGTGAAGGCTTATCTGGGACTGGTACATTGTGTCATTGAGTTGAGCTTTGCAAGGTTGGCAAGTGGCCCTCCTGTGTGTGTGTGTGTGTGTGTGTGTGTGTGTGTGTGTGTGTGTGTGTGTGTCTGTCTGTCTGTGTGTATTCGACCCTCCCCCATATCGTCCATGGCTTTGGAACAACCAGCTCTGTAATAAGCTTTCAATCAAAGTGGCACAAAGGTAACAAAGTAAATAACACGATGAAATACTATGACCTGAACTTTGTCACAATTATGAATCCAAGGTATGCTACAGACAAAAAAATAAACAAGAGCCTGTAAAGCACAACACAACAGACTGGCACAACTGCTAACTGGGCTCAAACAGTTTCAGTTTTGATTCATAACCCTTCATAGTTTTATAGACACACTGCCTTATTTAACAAGTACAAAGTGCGTTGAAACACACAAATTGTCCAAGTTAAGTAAGAGACAACAGAATAAATTAAACCATAACTGGCGAAAATAGTTACTTCACAATAATAAAACTTAAGTGACAAAGTAAAAAGTTTGATGTCATATTCAATCTAATTTATTGTGGGTTGAATCCAATATAAATTATCTTAGAAATGTATATTCTAATGACATGGGTTTAAATAATACAAAAAATATATTACACTGGTTTTAATTCAAAGCTAGTAGGAGTTGCAGGAAGGAAGGGCGCGCTCACAAACACAAACCACGCGCGAGAACTGCTTTCGAACACATGCACACGACACGCGCGCGCCTACTCACGCGCTGAGGCTGCCCATCCCCCACACTCGAGAAAAATTATAAAAATAAACGTCCGAAACAGCGCAATAACCCGGCGAAACCTCGCGTTCACAGCCACGCGTGATCGATCTACGCGAGGTTATCATTTATAACGGCAATAATCAAGCGGAAAGACGGTAAACACTCACCAAAAGCTCCAAATCACACAAGGGGGGTGCCTTCTCCTCTGTGCTCCTAATATGGAATCTCCTCCACCACCGTTGTTTTCTAGCTCTAATTACACCTCGAAAAAAGCGTTATAACTGCCTTCAGACCCGGCCAAGCGGGGCTAGGAATCCCCAATGACCGATGTGTTTTGGAAACACGGGCATATATAGTGATAAATCCCCTTAAAAATGAGCTGGATGTACAGTTGGGTCTAGATTGTAGGTTTGCTCGCTAGTAGAGAAAAGAGCCAAACGGTTCAGTAGCAGCCAACGGCTTCAGACTGAAACACAGAGCATCTGACCTGCCAGGCGAAAATGAGCTAGGCCTGAGCTCCTCTCTCTGCAGGAAGCACACTCTAGTCACATAAACATCAAAATGGGTGTCGCAGTATGGAGAAGGATGGTGTAGTTAGGCTGGGGGTAAGCGGTAACTCCTCAAAAACAACTCAGAAATATTAGGTTAAAATTAATTATCCGTTTATGTTGCTCAGTAGTAGACTGTTATTACTACGTAGCTATTTTTGGAGTGTAGCTGTAGGCATGCTGTTATGCACATGAAAAATATACTGTAGCTCACATTTTAGTTATTTATGGAACTATGCAAAAAAAAACGATGTAAAAAAAAAAAGTACGATTCTTTTATGCGATAATAATTAAAATTTTCAGGCAACATTTTAGGAACAAAATGTACTTTTGTTGTTTGGAACCAAGCCTTCCAATGCTGGCTCGCACACCACATGCTAACTATCTTAATTATTAGTAAAAGCAGGGCTATCGGAGTCGGTTGATGATAGGCAACGTAAATATAACCAATATCACCAGCTCCACATGCACATATTTATAGCTCACAAGAACAGAACTAGAGTGTGCAGGAATGCGGCGCTGTGAATGAACAATCAACTCCCTGGTGCATACCAAAATGTACAGGTCCATGACCATGCGAAGGTTAGCTTAGATCTGAGTGATGTAAATTTTATGTAAATAAGCACAAGGCGACATTCAGTCTTCTGCGTGCTTGGAAATTTATTTGTTACGGTGTGAATAGATCTGGGCAGAACCACTACAAGAAAGTGCAGCAAATACACATGTATCAATTGGAAAAACAAAACTTTTAGCCCTAACACAATTTAAATAGATATTTTTGTTTTAATTGCACCACTGTAGATGTTTTACAGGAAGACCAAAACTTCTAGTCTCTACAGTTCTGGTCTCTAGTGGCCATTCCAGGAAGTGGAATTTTTGACACTTAAGCTCAGCCCACAGAGTTTAGCTAATATATCCTAGTGGCCAGTACTGGGATTGCACACAATATTAAAACCCTGCAGTTGAAAATAACTTCCCACATAAACCACAAAGTAAATTAATTTAACAGGTAATTTAAAAATGCTTGTTGTTTACTTCCTATATAATGATTTTGTTATGTAAGAAGAAAACTGAATAAATCACACAACAAGCAGCCCACATGATAACAAATACAGCTGGTAACATTTATTAATTTCACCCCATTATTTTTAACGCAACATCAAGTATTATTCAGGATAATACATAGACGTACTGAGGTGAACGGTGTTATGTGACCACATGTGTTCACAGTAGCATTCATGAGGTGACAGAGAAGTGTGTGGTGGTGGCTTTCTCATGTAAATTCATCCTATAAGGAGAGGCATGAGCAGACGCAAACTGATGTGTATTCTGCAGACATAAACTGTGAAAAACAGACAGCAACTCATGTATGTATTACCCCAAAGCATATACTCATCAGCATGCACACACGCACACAGATAAGGCTCAGCTGAGACAAAGAGACACACAGACAGAAAGCCCTGGGGTGCTGTGTAGTGTGAGCTTTAGTGTGGCTATAACAAGAAGAGTGGGGGATGGGTAATGACCTTTATACAGGGTGAGGGGGAACGTCAGTGTTTTTTCTTCACCCTCCCTTTCACATGCCTGGAGAGTTTTGTAGTACAAGAGGGGCCCTGCAAGTCTGATGGTGCAATTATTTTCACACTGTTCTCCCTTGAAGACTTTGATGACTTTTCTTGTATTTGTTTTAGGAGGAAATGAAGCTATCCCACCAGTGGTACATCACGGCATCTCTGCCCCATAGCGGCTGAACAAATCAGGGGGGTACAATGATTTAGAAACAGCTCCACTGTGGCAAACTGTGAAGTGAGTACCACGGGGGCAAAGCAGACCACTATTAGGGTAATGGCTTTCTGGAAAACCACATCACATTATCTCTATGCAGTACTCTGCCTCAGTGTTTTCTTCTTCTCTGTGCCTTCTACAGTAAGCACCCAACCACCACCACTTCTAATGAGTGAGTTATGAAAGTATGGTATTCATGCTACAGGAATTCAGGGATTCTTCTAGAAAACCTTTCAACAACCTAAGACAGCTTATCATCATCATTCAGTTTTTAAACAAGCCTCAACATTGTCTAGACGTCTGGCAACGTCATCTTCAACATATTTTTTAGAGCTTATTTCCTTGTTCCCGTTTTACATAATCTGTTAAAACTTGTTTTCATGTGAATGTGAAGAAGCAGAAAACAAGCTTTTTTTAAAGCCTACTGTAATTGAACTATCACAAAGAGGTTTTTGAGTATTTAGCCAGATGTTTATGCATGTCCGCGTGCAGAAATTCCACTACAAACATGGCAGGTACAGTCATAAAACTTTAGTTGGGATCAAAATGAAGATCAGATATGCTAAGACTGGGGTGGTCTAGCCTGTGACCAGTGAACAAATGGAAAACAGAAGAGGTAAGCATGGCTTTGTCCTACTTTACACCCCTGTCATATAGCTTTGTGCATTTTCTGTTGTGTATAAGTATATTTTCCACAGTGGGTGTAGCCTTAGAATTCAATGGATCTTATTTGAAAATGATTAGGCTGTCAGAGCTCTTGCATTCATGGGCAGTTAAAAAAATAGTTCTATAAATATGCTCATATTTACCTTCTTGTCAAAATTTGAGGAAGCATGTAAGCACCACTTTAATACCTTTATGTTTTATGCGAAACAACAACAACAGCTGGGGTGACAGAAACACAACAAGTAGTGTAAATAGTGTAAACAACCAGCAGACATTTTGACATGTCACAGTACGAAAAGTAATCAAATTAAAGTGCTGAAATCTATTTAGTGGCTTCAGATAGAAAGAAAAGCATGTGTCAGCGCATATGGAAATGCGCACAAGAGGAATTGTGGTTGCAAGGTGATCAGATAAAACGATGCTTCGAGGCGGCCTGGCTCACATAGTGATGGGACCTCAGTGAGGTGTGAATGCAGTACATACAGCCTGACAGCATTCTTAAGAATATATTCCACGGAGTGAGTTGAAAAGCTACGAAACCTCCTCTCTTCATGCAAGCTTAAGCAGTCTTGACAAAAGCTGCATGTAGAGGAAGAAACTTTAGCAAACTTCCCTGTACAAAAAGGTGTTCAATAATGACTGTGTCCTTGAACTCCGAGGAGCGCAGAATGGAGCTGAAGTGAACGCTGGTGAAAATGAAAGCTTCCACCAAATTGATGCCAGTATTTAAAAAATAAAAATCCACGTGTTGATGTGTCTTCAAGTAGAGCAGCTCCACTGTTAGGTTATTAATAACTGTGTGATCTGTGCATGCATACTTCCGCCCGGATGTTTAGCATTGACAGAGTGTTGCATGTAGATTGAATTTATTGTGTTATGAACTGCAGCAGTGAGTAGGAGAGGTATAGCAGATGTGAACAAAGCAATACCAATGTCCCATTTAATATTTGTCCCTACCAACATATAACATGGAATTTCTGTCATTCACTGTGGCCAGAAGGTGTTCGATGGCAGCTCAGCTACAACAGCAAAAGGAATTACCTGGAGTGGAACAGTGTGAGTTACACCTAGTGACACTGGAATAATCCTTTGAAAAAAGATGCTTTAGAAAATCTCTGCTGTGGTATGAACTTTATTTTCAGTGCTCGTTAACCCAAAAAAAAGGGAAGTAGCTTAACCTGCAAGAATGTCTTATATGTGTATATATAAAGCATCATTAGCTGTGCCAGGGAGGATTGAAAGCCTAGTTGCCATTGCAACTGTAAGTCTGAGAGAGTCTGAATGTGTAGTTCTTTTCATCCCAAATCCAGCTTCAAAAAGGTTTTTGATCAATTTCTTTTTCTTTTTTTTTTACTCCTGACATCACTCCAACTCTCAGCTGGAAAATGGTGAATTACACTCCACTCCTAATGCACTTTTTTGATCATGTCTCCTTTAATGAAGTTCAATATCAAGACATCTCTTTCCTCCCAGTTTTTTGGGGCTTCTATCAGGTCTAATTGGACATACACCTCAAATAGACCTGCAGGTAAATGCTTCCCAGACTGGGAACAGAACACCTGACACTGATCATGTGTCTTTCCATTCTGTCTCTTTAATAGGTTTACCTCTGGCATCATAATAGTTGGTATGGATTTTATTGGCTTTTAGCTGCTACAGCAAATATTTGTTCTAAAACCAGTTATTATTATAAGCTCAAGCTTCGCTTGGCTTTATAATATGATTCAGGTCTTTGTTTAAATGATGAAAGCTTCACTTTACTCAACAGTGACCCTGTTTGCTAGAACTTGCCTGTATATACAACTAAAACATGTCAATAACATTTAGGTGCTACATAATCATTGGCCATAACATGTTAAGATATTGGTGTTGAGACAATACAAAGCCACACATTTATTCATGTTTCCTGACTTGTTAAAGGGAATCTTAATCTGCTTGTATTTACATTTCATTTTAAAATCTACTGGCGTTTTTGATGCATAGGAAGGCATCAAGGAGACAGGGCTGTAGCTAGTTAGTCAATAAACCTGTGCTTTTTTGTGAGCCTGTTAGAAGTTTTTAGACGTATTATGCTGAATTAAACCAGCTAAAAGAAACTAAAATACAAAAAATTAAAGAGGCGCTGCAGAGTCAGATGAGAACTCTGCAAGTTCCTCACTCAGAGCAATGTGTATACACAGATGCAGTGCCAGTACTGGTGTCCAGAGATGGGCAGTAACGCGTTACTTACTTATGCTGATGACACACAGCTCTACCCGTCCACTAAGCCTAATTCCACTCTCCCATTAGGTTAGGTTACGTACTAAAAATGTTTAGGATAAATGCGTAAATTCTCTCTGTGTATTTACAATTCTTGAATCTCTCCTTCCTCTCAGGTTAGGAGTTTAGGTGTTGTTTTCTAGCACCTTAAATTTTGACACATCAATAACATCACTCAGTCTGCATTTTTCCAGTCACGTAAAATCAGTTGGCTACGCCGTTTCTTACAGCTAACTGCACTGCTATTCTTGTACATGCTCTGGCTACACTCTTATT